GCCTTCATCCTCTCGCTACGTTTTTTCGCCGGTGACCAGCTCTTGTGCCGCCTGTAAGTTCTTAGGTCGGAACTGTGCAAAGAGTTGCGTGTTGGCACCTTGGTTTCCTCCTAATGATACCATCAATTTCACTACTGTCCATCGTGTTTATGGTGCTAGCAATGTCATCAAGTCCTTGCAGGTGCACTTTTGAAATTTATGATTTCTATTGCGATCTCAATTTATTATATGATTATAGTTAGGTTCACAAATCAATTTTATTTATGTATTTAGTGAATTTCTTAAGATAAATCTATGATTCGAGCAAATGTTATTGAGATTCTTAGCATTAAACTAATTGGCATAATACATCAGTGCCCGTATAGCTTAGAACTTTGAGTGTGCACAAATAGACACTTTAACTTGCGTAAAATTGAACAAATGGACACATGCGTCCTACCTGAAAATTTGTGTCCTACGTGTATTATGCCAATGTACAAGCTTACTTGTTCAACTTTTATAGAAGTTTAAGTGACTATTTGTGCAGGCCCAAAATTGGAGGATATAGATGCTAACTAGGCAGCTAAAGCCAAGTTGAAGGTAATATATATGTATTATGCCTAACTAATTATACTACTTTCAAGTTATGGGTTCATATCTACTGTTTGTTGTAGTTTTAATAATTATTAAGAGAAAATAGCCAAATATTCCCCGACCTATTTGCCAATTACCAATTACCGATTACACACTTATACTTCATAAATAAATAGGTGAGATATTCTATCTCTGATCTCACCACATTAGGGTGTGCTTAAAACCTTATTCGGTGTCCATGGGATAAAAAATTATTTCCATTGGATGTTTACACCAAACTAGTAGATATAGGATGTGTTTGTACATATACTCATTTCTTAACTGTATTGAGTAATTACTGCATATTTTCACCAAAATTAAATCACCTAACTATAATAAATTTTGTTTGTTTGGTTTAAATATTTGACACAAATAAGTATCTACCAAGGATGTTTTCCTTGAAACAATTTAAGTAAACTTTGTTTTATATTTCACAAGCAAAACGAGTTCACATTCATTAGACCGTTGTTATTAGGAATATTTCGACGTTTATTTGTTGTAGAAGTTTAAGTAGGCAAATATTGGAAAAATATTTTTAAAAACTTAAATTCATTCACCCAGGCTTTCACCTCGTGTGGTGATGGGAGGTTTGACCTTGGCCCCTATCTAGTTTATTATAAACTAACAAAGAGTAGTGAAAGACTACATACGGGGAAATCTTAGAAGGATAAGAGGCCAGCAGGTTACATTCCAAAGGAATGTTTCACCAAAAAGAGCATGTCTACTAGATGCTTTTCTAGTAGCATGTTCTTACTGAAGAGTTCAAGGAGGGTCAAAGTGCCGTCCTGTATGTTTTTCAGCTCTTATTTTGAATGATGGGAAGCCCATCTTGTCCAGTCTAAGTTGTTGTCTCTTTCCCTGTCGTAGATGTCATTATGATCTAGTAGGGTAGCATGTTTAACCATAACATCTGCTACCCTGTCACCTTCTCTATAGCAATGGGATATTTGGATGTTTCTGTTCCTGATTATATCTTGAATCTTTTCCACATTCCTTTGGAGATGCCATGGAGGTTTGATGTTGCCTTTGATCATCTCGACTAGGATCATAGAATCTAATAGCAAAATATAGTTAACTGGTATATGATTCCTATACCAAGTAACACAAAAAAGAGTTGTCTGTGTTTCACAATAATTGTTAGTTGAGAAATGAAGTGGGTTGGCAAAGGCTGTGATCATTTTCCTGTTTCTTCTCTTAACCATCCTTCCTTCTCCAGATCCCTACCCTGCTGCTTCCATCAGTGTGAACTATGGTAGAACTGTCTTGAGAGTTGTTGCAGTGAACCATCTTACTGATGATTCTGCGCTTGTAGTTCGAGGACAATTCTACATTTTTATGCCAATTCAACTTTTATCTATAGTTTTTTAATTGAAAAGGAATTTGGTGCCGATTCTAGATATTGAAATATGAAATATTCTTATGGCCATACCTTTTCACATTCGGCCTTTCAAATTTCCCAACACACAATGGTAGGAGTGATCTGCAAAAACAGTCTATGTACCAAATTGTTTGGTTCAGTAGTCCACCAGCTGTTTAAGAAATTATTGATGTTGGAATGTCTGGTGTCAGTCCCTAGAAATCCAGATATCATTCTTCAAGTCTTGGTGGCTATATCACCATGGACAAGGAGGTAGTTGATAGAATCCTCCTGAGCATTTCTGAGGGGTTTGGCTTGTTTATTAGCGTTCTGATTTGCTAGATATTGTATGTTAATATTACTGTTGGAAAAGTTGTTCTTGTAGTAGAACATAATCACCAAATTTAAAGATGAAATAGAGAAAAAAATTGAATCTTAAAAAACCAATTTGACGTGTATACCATTAAAGGTACTAGTTTCAAGTAGTAAGAGAGCCCTTGATTTCGAGCCCCTATAGTAGCAAACAGGGAAAAATTCCTATACTATTTTCCTTTTGGTGGTGTAGAGGGGATTGATCTATAATGAGAAGTAACAACCACATCCCATTATTTACTAAGGAGTTCAAGTAATAAACTTGTTTAGTGTAAGAAAATTTCACATTATTGAGTCACTTTCATGTATTATAGTCGGTGACTTGTTTTATTTTTAAGATTACAAATCTTACATTTTAAGGAGTTTTAATGTAGTTCTCGTATCAAAGTGATCCGATGGTTTAAAATTCTTTATACTGACAATCTAGATTACTTAAGAAAAAACAATTCACTCTTTTCATCCCTATATTACTGTATATTTTTTTCTTCTCTTTGCATCTATATCTTCATTTTTTCTCTTTGTATGGTGCATTGACTTCTCTTAGTTTTCCAAGATAATTACATGTGGCTTTTTGTCTAACAAAACCCTTCTCTCTCATAATTTCCTTAGTTTTCTAACAAGTTAAATGCTTATTTTAACAATTAGGTTTTCCTTATTCACTTGTATAGTGAAATCCAAGCATCATATTAACTTTTTCAAATCTTGTTTAATTAGGAATTGCCGGAATCTCAAAGAGCAGATGCTGTAAGCAGCATGGTGTATGAGGCAAATGCTAGACTGAGAGATCCTGTATACGGTTGTGCAGGGTCAATTTTCCATCTACAAAAACAAGTGAGTGATCTCCAAGCACAATTGGCAAAGGCACAAGCTGAGATTGTCAACATGCAATGCCAACAAGCTCATCTCTTGGAACTAATTTGCATGGAAATGGGCCAATCTCCACAAGCAATATCACCCCCACAACAATCTTTGGACAATTTCACTCATAATATCCCTATGAGCTTCTTAGACGACGATAACTCTGGATCAGTGTGGGAGGCCCTATGGACATGACGATTAAAGATCAAAACTCAAAATGCTCTCGGTGAAAGGAAACTGAATTGTAATATAAATTGAGCCAAATCTTCAAAGATTTGTGTTAATGTTTATTCAGGTACTTTTCTTTGTAATATGATTCTGATAAGAGCACATGAAACTGATGGGTCATATGATCCGACCATGTTATATATATAATGCTAATTTATGAGGAAAAACGGATTGTGATGTTTGAAGATGCGTTGAGGTGAATCTTAAGTATCCTATCTTGATTTAACTGATGCCATAGATGTTGACAGTGTATGTTGTTGATTGACATGGTAATATTGAGGGCTGGTTTCCATTCAGGCAACTCAGCTAGTTTGCATATTCCACCAAAAGAGTTTCGGTCGTGGACTGTGTAATTATTGGAAAACCCAAGTGTTTGTAGGCACAAAACTTGTCAAGTTTGCCATAACTGCTTCTGGTGATGTTTCTTGCTCGAGGTCAACCCCGACGTATCACAACCAGTTCCTTGTGTGCTTCACTGGTGATGTTAGGAAAATCATTTGATGAGCTAAAACCTCTCTAAAGAGGTTCTCCAGAGACATGTGTATGTTTAGAGAGGTTGTTCTTCCATTTGAGAAATTCAAAGATTAATGTGCTTCTTGGTCCTGAGATACAGCGTTATTGCACGGGCATTTTGTTAAGGTCCATTGCAAGGTATGAGACTTGAGTCCACTTTGGTATATAAATGTGTTGATGTAGGGCTTATATAGTCACGTCAATAGCTAGTTTTTTTGGGGTATGGTTCTCTCTGGATTGTATCAATGGTATCAAAGCCACCCACTATCCTCCGTATTTGCAGTGTTCGCTAGAGGTCAGTTGTGTCTAGTGCACAACTATGAGGATGGTGGATGTGGAGCGTGGTGGTTTGTTATAGTCCATTACAAGGCATGAAAATTTGAGTCCCAGATCTGTATATAAAGGCTCATCTATGTAATTATTTTTTAATTGATTTTTTTTCTAAATTATTGACATGAAATTGTAAACATTAGGAATTGTAAAGAATGTAGAGGAGAAAGAGTTTTGGAGCGAAGAGGATAATTTAGAAGGGAAATGAGTATCTTTTTATTTTTTTACAATTTTGGTTTTAAATAATAAATTCATGTCAATAAATTTTAATGGAAAAAAATTAATTAAATAGGTTGGTGACTTTGTAGGTAAAATATCCATAATTGAGTGATTTTCTACGAAAAAAATCATTAGTTGAGTGATGATATGAAATTTCACTCGACAATAAGTTCCGGAATCACTTTTGCAGTGAAATAAAATGTGTCACTTGAGCATGACACACCCAATAATCAAATCCTACTTAGAATTATTATATTACTCATTTCCTTTATATAATGGCTGTGTCTACCAATAATAAATTATTATATGGAATTTGATAGTCAAGATAAGTAATAAAGTGAAGACGGAGACAGCTAAGCTGTGGAAAATTGCAATCTTTTTGAAAAGAGAAAAAAGATTGTTTCTCTTTTCTTTCTTTGACCAAAGAGATAGTTATTGGTATAGCAATTGCAAATCAAGCAGACAGTCAGTATATTGTTTGTAAAGGAATTCAATCTCTTAATTCCTAGCAAAAAATAGACAACCATCTTTAATTTTTGCCATTCTTGTCCATTTTTTGATTCTTTGCTTTGTATTGCAGCTTTCAGAAATGGATATTGGCTTAGCAGTTGGTGGTGCATTTCTCTCTTCAGTCCTGCAAGTTCTATTCGATAGGCTTGCTCCACAGGGCGAGCTGCTGAAGATGTTTCAGAGGGACAAGCGTGATGTTCGGCTCTTAAAGAAGCTGAGGATGACTTTGCTTGGCCTTCAGGCTGTGTTAAGTGATGCGGAGAATAAGCAAGCATCAAATCCATACGTGAGCCAGTGGCTTAGTGAGCTTCAAGATGCTGTGGATGGCGCTGAGAACTTAATAGAACAAGTCAATTATGAGGTTTTGAGATTAAAGGTGGAAGGTCAGCATCAAAATCTTGGAGAAACAAGCAACCCACAGATAAGTCACCTCAGCTTGCCCTTGAGTGATGAATTTTTTCTTAACATAAAGGATAAGTTGGAAGAAAACATTGAAACACTGGAGGAGTTGCAAAAGCAAATTGGTTTTCTTGATCTAACAAAATATCTTGATTCGAGTAAACAAGAAACAAGAGAATTTTCAACTTCTGTGGTTGTTGAGTCTGAAATCTTTGGCAGGCAGAATGAAATAGAGGAATTGATTGACCGTTTGTTGTCTGAGGATGGACATGGAAAAAATCTGACTGTAATTCCTGTTGTTGGAATGGGGGGTGTGGGTAAGACAACACTTGCTAAATCTGTTTACAATGATGAGAAGGTAAAAGAACATTTTGGTTTGAAAGCTTGGATCTGTGTGTCTGAACCATATGATGCCGTCAGAATAACGAAGGAGTTACTTCAGGAAATTGGTTTAAAGGTTGATAATAATCTGAATCAACTTCAAGTCAAATTGAAGGAAAGCTTAAAGGGAAAAAAGTTTCTTATTGTCCTAGATGACGTGTGGAATGACAACTATAAAGAATGGGATGACTTGAGAAATCTTTTTGTACAAGGAGATGTAGGAAGTAAGATCATTGTGACGACACGTAAGGAGAGTGTTGCCTTGATGATGGGTAGTGGGGTAATCAATGTGGGCACTCTGTCTAGTGAAGTCTCTTGGGCTCTATTCAAACGACATTCATTAGAAAATAGGGATCCTGAGGAACATCCAGAACTTGAAGAGGTTGGAATACAAATTGCACACAAGTGCAAAGGATTGCCTTTAGCTCTAAAGGCACTTGCTGGTATTTTACGCTCCAAATCAGAGGTGGATGAGTGGAGAGACATTTTAAGAAGTGAAATATGGGAGCTGCCAAGTCGTTCGAATGGAATTTTACCAGCATTGATGTTGAGCTACAATGATCTTCGTCCACATTTGAAGCGGTGTTTTGCTTTTTGTGCAATATATCCCAAAGATTATCTATTTTGCAAAGAGCAAGTTATTCACCTGTGGATTGCTAATGGTCTTGTACAGCAGTTGCATTCAGCTAACCAATACTTTCTTGAGTTGAGATCGAGATCATTGTTTGAAAGGGTCCGAGAGTCTTCTGAATGGAATCCGGGGGAATTCTTAATGCATGACCTTGTCAATGATTTGGCCCAAATGGCATCTTCAAATCTTTGTATTAGGTTGGAAGAGAACCAAGGATCTCATATGTTGGAACAAAGTCGGCACATGTCCTATTCAATGGGCCAAGGTGACTTTGAAAAGTTGAAACTCCTGTACAAATTGGAGCAGCTGAGGACATTACTTCCCATTGATATCCAGCAGCGTTCATGCCGTCTAAGCAAGAGGGTGCTGCATGACATATTGCCAAGACTAACATCTTTGAGGGCACTATCATTGTCTCATTATGAGAATGCGGAGTTGCCAGATAACTTGTTTATCAAATTAAAGCACCTAAGGTTTTTGGACCTCTCCTGGACAGCTATAAAAAAGTTGCCAGATTCAATTTGTGTACTGTACAACTTAGAGACACTTCTCTTGTCACATTGTAGTAATCTTTATAAGCTACCTCTGCTTATGGAAAAATTGATCAACTTGCGTCACCTTGACATTAGCGAAGCTCATTTGAGGAGACCCCTACATCTGAACAAGTTGAAAAGTCTCCATGTGCTAGTGGGAGCCAAGTTTCTTCTAAGTGGTCGCAGTGGTTCCAGAATGGAAGATTTGGGTGAACTACATAACTTGTATGGATCTCTATCAATTCTAGAGTTGCAAAATGTGATTGATAGAAGGGAATCTATGAAGGCAAATATGAGGGAAAAGAAACACGTTGAAAGGTTATCTTTGGAGTGGAGTGGAAGTGATGCTGACAATTCACGAACTGAAAGAGACATACTTGATGAGCTACAACCAAATACAAACATAAAAGTACTCCAAATTACCGGATATAGAGGGACAAAATTTCCAAATTGGCTAGCTGATAATTCATTTCATAAGCTAATAGAAGTGTCTCTTAGCTACTGCAAGGACTGTGATTCCTTGCCAGCACTAGGACAACTTCCTTGTTTAAAATTCCTTACCATTAGAGGGATGCATCAAATAACAGAGGTGACTGAAGA